AGAAAGCCAGCTATTAGTGATAACTGTCCATCCTGGGACCCTTCCTCCTAGACCCTGCCTTCCTCTCTTCTGTCCTCTTGGCTCCCAGTACTCTTGCTCAGCCAATCAGGAAGCCATTCCAGCTTTCCACACTTGCCTTTCTCAACATGTATAATCAACTCTTGTCATGAAAGACCATCTGGGCCAAACCCTCAGAAAGGGGTGAACTTTGTTCTTTTATTCTTTCAAGATTGCTCAAGCACCCAGGGAATGGTGGGCTTCAAACCCTGGATTTCACAGAGGCAGCCCCCAGGAAGGTGCATGAGACCCTAAGCCACACATGAGGACTGAGGAACCTGAAACAATCAAAGCCCATGGCTGCCCTTCCCTACTGTATTCTTAGCGGGGGGGTTGGGGGGAGGTCAGACCCTAACCTGAGTCAACTCCAATCAGGGCTGACTCAGAAACCATCCCTTCCCACTGGAAGCCAGCATCTAGAAGTACTCAAGAGCAGGGCCTATTCTAAGTTGTCTACATGCATGTATCTACCCTTCCCCAGACACACACACACAGACACACACACACACACACACACTAGAAGAAGGCTGAAGGGATAGAAACCTACAGTCCAGATGGAGTTGAGAGAATCAACCAAAGAGACAGTTAAATCAGGACCCAACTTTCTAGAAGAGTAGGATATTGTCAAATGTTTGACATGAGCTGTCCCGTGGGCATCCTGCTAGGAACTTGATTCTAGTTGTTATTGGCTTTCTGCATTGTAAGTACCTTCTGTAAATTTAACTACTAGATGCATAGTTGCCTAGAGTTACTCCACCTAAGAAGGAGAGGTGGCCACCTAGGACAGGTCCAGTATCACATTATTAGCCACAGACTCAGTGGCTTCAGAGGCTTTTCATCTTTTTGTTATTCTGGGACTAAAGAACAAGATCCAAGGCTAGCAGGTGATTTTATGAGTCCAGTCTCCTCAGCTTACAGCTAGTCACACACACACACCTTTGTCCTGACCTTACGTCTCATAAGGACACCAGCCACAATGCACTAGAACCACTCGTAGCACCTCGGTTTACTTTAATAAGTTTTTAAAGTCCCATCTCCATAAGGATAGCTCTCACCTCTCATCAAGGAAGCTTCTCTTTACAGCAAAAGAAGACCATTACAGACAACCACAACAGGGCATAACAGCAATCAATGTATCGTGGGGAACGCAGCCCCAGTTGACACATCTATAACCCAATGCTTGCACCTATGACTCAGGGAACTTCTCAGAAGAAGGAGCGGAGAGACTGTGAGAGCCCGAGGACAAGGAAGTCTACTGTGATATCGTGTCGTCCAAAGAATGACAATGAAGCCACACCCATGATGTCTCATCAACATGGTGCCTAAACAAGACCTGAACAATGTTAATATCAATAGGCAAGCTAACATGGAAGGGGGAATCTCATGGGATCCCACCGTTAGACAAAGAATTACAGGCATCTAAAGGCTGCTGAGAGAGAGAAGTTATCCACTTGATTAACCTAGAGGTTATTCTACACAAAGGGGTCAGCCCTGAAACCATATACATACAAACCACACTAAACATACCCAGAAGGTTGTATTTATATATTCATGCATATATATGTAGCAATAACAATCAAAAAGCAGATATCAGTTTGACAGGGAGTGAAGGGGACATGGGAGGAGCTAGAGGGCAAGGACATGGAAGGGGTTAGAGGGAGGACAGGGAAGAAGTTAAGATTGTGACACCTGAATGGGAAAGGGCTTAATTCAGTGTGAGTAGGCCCCATTTCCTTTCAGAGACCATCAGTGGGCTCAAGACTCCTATACAGTTTGCAGTGTGTTTTCCAATAAGATAGGCAGGCCCGCACGGGATAAGAATAGATCAACGGCTTCTGGCTAGGTGTGGTGGCTTATACAAATAAGCTCAGAATGCAGGAAGCGAAGGCAGAAGGATGTAAAGTTTGAAGCCAGGCTGGGCTACATAGTAAGTTCCAGACCATCTTAGGCAATGGAGAGAGAGAGAAAGAGAGAGGGGGAGAGAGAGAAAGAGAGACAGATGGGGGAGGGGGGAACAGAGACACAGAGACACAGAGAGAGAAAGACAGAGAGAGACAGAGAAACAGCCAGAGAGAGAGAGAGAGAGAGAGAGAGAGAGACTGTGTCAAAAACAAAAGCAAATAAACAAAAACAGAAAAAGGCTTCTGTGTGAGATGCCTAAAGGAGGAGGAAGAGGTTGTAAAAGACAGCTCAGTGGGTAAAGTGTTTGCCACACACGTGTGGAGACCTGAGTTCAGCTCTCCATCACTCACCAGGCAAGCAGAGCGCCTCACCTGTACCCTAGCACTACTGAAGCAGAGATAGGGGAATCCCCAGAGCAAGCTAGCTAGGGAGGCTAGTCCGCACATGTTCTAAGCACTGACTGCCCTTAATGTAAACAGCTGCAATCAGAGGCATTCTGTCAGGCCAGAAGACCAGCGGGGGCCTGGAGGGAACATCTGAATTTACATCTCAAATGCTCTGATGGACTAATTGGAAGATTGTACTGGATAATTTAGCTTCAAGCCTGCCCTGTGGTCCCTCAATCCCCTGTTAATGCCAGCTTTCCTTCTAGGACTAGATGGATTGTAAGGACAGTGGTTAATGGCATGTAATTCTTCCTTGGATTTTGTTGTGCTCATCCAAAATGTCTGAAATGTCTGAGTCACTAGTACTAATCAAGCAACCATGCATATGTGTGTGCGCGCAAGCACAGAGAGAGAGAGAGAGAGAGAGAGAGAGAGAGAGAGAGAGAGAGAGAGCCATGTCCTAATCACCAGCATGTGTGGCTGCCTATGCACCCCTTATGTGGCAACCTGATTCATGTCAAGGACTCTGAGATGGGCAGAGATCATTCTGGTTTGCCTGGATGGTCCAGGTTTATTGTGTGAGCCCTCATACCCTCTTGGTTGTGATCAGAGAATCAGAAAGATGAGGCATAAGGAGGGCTTGGCCACAAACTGAGGAACACAGGCAGCCCCTACAAGCAATAAGAGGCCAGAGCGTAGATTCTGACCTAGAGGCTTCGAAAAGGAGTATGTCCTGCCTGCCCTGTGAGCTTAACCATTAAGGCCCACCTCAGACAGCTAACTTCTAGAACTGCAGGATAAATGAAGTTTAGGGATTTTGTTTGTTTCTTAAGCCATGTAGTTTATAGATATTTGTTACAGCAGTGGTCAAAAACCGAAACAAAAGCCAGAAAACCAAGCTTCACTTCCTGCTCAGCAGAGTGGGAACTACAAACTTGGCCCAATGGACGAGCCCATTTGAATAGGAGTGTTCACGAATAGGAGTGTTGTCCTGTCTTATGAAGCTAATGCAAAACCTAACGGTAATGCAAGAGTAGAAGCAAACTACTTCTTGAAGGAGGAATAGAGGATTCACAGGAAGGAGTGAGGCATGAATGTGGTGTGTGCTAAAAGTATACTGCATACTTGAATGGAAGTGTCCTTATGTGTCCCAATACCATATACAATGAACACGCGCTAGTGAAAATAAAATATAGATCAAAGAATTAATGGTGGTAACAATCTGCTGGCATCTTGCCTAGCCCAAGGAAGCCAGCAGGTATTCCTAGCTATCCATTTCTGTCTTATTCTCTCTCAGCTTACCCTCTTACTGCTCCTTGAGAAATGAAGATAACAGTTCCAAGGTAAGGCGCAGGGCATTCCCTGATAACACACAGCAGGCTGGAGTTAAGGGAGGTCTGTGATCCGGTTCCACAAACCTCCACTAGGTGGCCCGCTCACAAGGCAAACACAGCTAGTCCCAGCATCCCGGGTAAAGGCAGCTCCAAAAGCAACATCCCCAGCTGAGCCAGACAGGAGCCACCAGAGAGACACTGCCCATCGGTGGCCTGGGAGGCAGGCTGTGTGACTGAAGCTGTTCAAAAACAGAGGATCTCCCCAAGGCTAACTGCTCCCAATGCTGTGCCCAGGGCACTGGAAGGATTTGGCCTGGTGTATATACTCAGTATATCCTGGCAGTGGGAGCATATGGCACAGCCTGGACCCTTCTGATACTTTTGGTAACAGACCACATGCTAGAGGCTAAGCAGTCTCATCCAGGAGACCCCCACATGGTGTCACCATTAGCATTGGTTCAGGCTGGTGCAACTGGAAGACTGCTAGGTGGGCCCAGAGGGCAGAGTCTTCAATACTGACTCAAACTTTAGGGGTATCACAGTCTCTTATGGAGCTTTAAAATTAGAAATAACAATGCCTTCCCCCAACCAGCTCGCCTCTGCATTTGTGAACAGGTGCAGATAATTAATACATACTGGGGCTGGCCGAGTATGAGTCCGTGAACTTGCGCTATTGCTTGAAAACATGCTGGCAGGCACGCCATATAGAGACCCCTGCACAGTGGGAGTTGCAAGAGCAGAGGGGACGAGACTCAGGATGACTGGACTGTGGCAGGACCTGAAAAGAGGGCAGGAGAAGAAACACGGATGGGGCCAGCGGTCTAGTGGGAGTCCAGAGAACCAAGCTAGTGTGCTCATGACCTTGGATAAGACCCCTCGCCATCCAGTGGCCAGTAGGAAATGGTCTCTGTCTAGTTGGGACTGAAAATCTCTGAAGCCTCCCTCAAGACCTCTGAGGCTTCAGAAATCAAGGACCAAGCCACCAATATTCACCAGAAACACACTGTCAACTTGCAGGGATCTCATCCTTCTGCCTTATGTCACACCAGTCTGAGTTTCTCAGAGGCTTGCTGGCTCTGAGATCAAATTCCTGATCAGTCTCATGAAGCTCTACACTTAGGCCCTACTGAGCTTAGTGTCCCCTTGTGTTGCCACCAATTAATACTAAATAATTAATAACATCTAATATTCTACATATTTTTTTTACTAAAGCAAAATTTACAGAACAAATTCCACCATTTAAATATATTTAATTATATATAAATAGAATTAATGACATATATATATATATAAAATAAACAAAAATTAAAACAATACATATAAGAGAAATCATGAATGTAGTCCCACTACCAGAGATTATGAGGTCAAGTTTCCAAATTTGGGGAAATCCCAGGAGTCAGCACACTCAGAGATCCCACACTCGGGAGGTAAGAGAACCACGTTCATGGTTGTGGTGTCTCTCCTGCCAGGTACGTTTGACCATTTTAGAAGAGTCGAGTGGCATTTAGTGTGTGTCATCTGTCTCCATTGCCTAGTACCTTTTGGCTTTGCTGTCCTTTAGGCTTTTTGATTAGCGTACACAGGCCTAGGTCTCTGGGGCACTTTCCACTCCTCTTTGTTTTTGTTGGTCTCTTCTTTCATCAGCCTTATTTTCATTTCAAATAAGGTTTACTTTTACTTATTTATACTCACATGGATGTGTGTATGTGTCTGTGTGTGGATGTGTGCACATCAATGCAGGTGCTTTTGGAGGTCAGAGGCTGCAGAACTTCCTAGAACTGGAGTTGCAGAGGGCTGTGAGCTGCCCACCATGGATGCTGAGACTCACACTCGAGTCTTCTACGAGAGCAAGAAGACACTTGAACCACCTCTTAGCTAACCACTGAACCACATCACTAGCCCTCATTTTTGTCGATTTCTTAAACATTTTCTCACCCTAAAAGAAAACTTCATGTCCATCAAAGTGGATGCTGCCTACAATCAGATTCCTGCCTCCTTGCATCTCCTCCTCTCCAGCCTCCAAAGGCTAACAAGAATTTTTTTCTCTCAATTGAGCCACACCTGCACAATCTCTATGTTTAGAATTCCTGCTCTGAAAGTTATCAACTTCCATCCCAAGTCAGATACAGAGTAGAGCTCCCCACATGGATCAGGTCACGTGGAACCCCTCAGCCTGGAAGGCCTTCCTCACTATCCCATCTTCTCTCACAGATCAGTCCCAACACTTTAACTCTGTGGTCCAGGTCCTCTAAAATTCAAATGACAAAAGAACCATGAGCTGGGAGTAACCAAGAGGCAACCTGCCTCAGGGCTGACCTTCACAAAGACAGGGTGAGAAATAGATGGGTCAATTCAAGTTTCCACACTGATACTTTGGGGAACTGTAGACCTTACTTACAAGAGAAAGCACGTGCCAATGAGATATAAATAAGCATGTTAACACATTCCTGCTGAGGTCCAGCTTAATGGCCAAGAAACTAATCATTACTATAATAACCAATTATTATAACTTGGAAAGGTCTGAAATAAACACAACCCATGTGGTGCTTATTATCACATAAGGAATGGAGCCATGGAAGTTGAAAACAATGCAGGACCACTGAACGGATGTTGACCATGCAGTGAGCAGTTGTTCATATTGGCCAATAAGGTTCTTTGCTTTCTCATGTCGTCAACAATTTAACAGTAAGTTTGCATGCTCAATGCTAGTTTCTCCTAAGAGTCTTAAGGTTGTGAAAGTGGAGAGGAACCAGGATAGCCTAGGGTCCAGTGCTCAGCCATCTGCCTTCTGCTTTGGTAGCTGATGCTTCAGAGGTTGAGGGTGGGGAGTGCTGTGATAGAATCTCACTGTGGCCAGATCATCATAGTCTTTATGCCTGAGCCCAAACCTGCAGGCTGGGTCCCCCTTCTGTCCAAGACACCCCCTCAGCTCTCCCCTCCTTGTTCACCTGGCCCAGTCCCCACATCTAAGATGGTGTTTCAGTGGGGCATCCTCCTTTGGCTTCATTTCCACACACCCATTTTCCATTCCAACAACCCTTAGGTGTACTCATCGCCCCGATCCAGCAGCTCCTCCAGCCCCTCCCACCCACCACTTAAAGTCTTTGTCTCCTTCCCCCTTTCCTACTTCCTGACACCCCGGTCCCCAGCCTTGTCACATCCCTCAGCCTCTCATCAGCAGAACCATCATCCTTCTAACACTCCCTGCCTAGACCACCCAGCAACCTTCACCACACCCAAGAAGAGACCGAGCCCCAAGCCGGGCATTCAAATACCACCATTTTCTTCCCCCCACCCCCCACCTGTCTCATCTCTCTGCATCACATACTCTAATAAGCTTTCTCTTTCATTTCTTGCCTTTCTCCTATTTGTTAAAACTCCTTCCTTCCCTGCAGAGAAGCAAACAATGTCTATCCTTCTTCCTAAACACAAACTGAGGTAGGATTCCAGCAGCAAAGTTCACTCTGCAGAACCAGTGAGTTTATTGGGCTCACTTACATAGACATGGGTGAAGTGAATATGGGCAGGAACATGGTACGGTAGCTTGATGCTTGGCCCGAGGGAAGTGCTACTATAAGGACATGTGGCCTTATCGGAGGAAATGTGTCACCATGGGGGTGGGCTTTGAGCTCCTATGCTCAAGCTCTGTCCAGTGTGGAATCAGAGTCTCCTAGCTGTCTGTGGAAGAGAGTCTCCTCCTGGCTGCCTTTGAATGAAGATGTAGAACTCTCAGCTCCTTCTCCAGCACCATGTCTGCCTGGATGTTGCCAGGCTTGCTATCATGCTGATAATAGGCTGAACCTCTGAAACTGTAAGCCAACACCAATTTAAACATTATCCTTTATAGAAATTACCCTGGTCATGGTGTCTCTTCAAGGCATTGAAACCCAAACTAAGACAACCTTGAAGTAGCCGTACCCATTTACCTTTAGCATAGATGGTGACAGAGGCTACATGGGTATGACCTCAGCCCAAGTCCTTCCCCCTTGTCCCCTTCTAGCCGATCCCTGAGGCTACATGCAGAGTAGAAATGATTACAACAGTGTCAGGAACATAGTTTATGCTCAGTAAATATTGATAATTACTATGAATTATTATCCCAAATGTATTGAGAGGAGGCAAAACCACCCAGAGAAACTGAACCAGCTTTGGGGGCAGGAACCTGTGACCCCAGCCTGGGAGTCAACAAAGGAAGATCCACATGGCAGGGACAGTGGTCAGCTGAAGCTGGACCCTGTGGCACCAATTGTTCACATCTTAATAGATCAAGAAGCAAAGAGAATGTGACCAGAAGGAGAGCTGGACAACGCGCTTCAAAGGCTAGTCCAGTGCCTAGGTCACAGATCTCAGAGGCTCCACAATTTCCCAAAACAGCACCACCGGCTGGGGATCAAATGTTCAAATGCATGCACTTGGGGGGACAGTCAATAACTCAAGCCATAATGAGCACCAACAAAGCCCAAGGGGATTCCAATAGATTACCCGACGGCCACTCTGCTACGCCACACTGAGCATTTTGATAGAGTAAATCTCTCCATTTCCTCGTTTACACTTTCCTTCATATTTTATCTTATTTGTGTTGTGGTTGAAGAGTTACCAATTTAAGCCCTGCGGCAGAGAAGAGAGAGGGAGGATATGGAGACATCTAGGAAAGCAGACAGATATTCCAGGATCCCAAAGCAGTCTGCAGGGCTGCCTCACCAGCATCAGTCAGCAGACAGCTCCTCGTCTCCTGCATCAATCTGGAGATGGGGCTGTGTTTATAAAGGTTTCCCAAAAGAAGGCTCTGAGAGGGTGAGGTGTATACCCCCTATTCCCTCCTAAATGTACATTTTATGGCTATGTACATCAAGCCCAAACAGCCTGACGATAGATCATGTGTCCTGAAATACAAGAAGCCAGGACAGGAGCAATGGAGAAAAGACCTGTGCATCAGCAGGCAGTGTTGGGGACACTGGGCTCTCTGGACAGACAGCCTGCCTGCTAGAGAGTCTCGGGGCCATGTTCCAGGTCGACAGGAAATAAGGGAACACTTAGAGAAGTAAAGAATTTACTAGCAGGTACCAGGTACCTTACACAGGCATTTGGTATTTCAGCCTCAGCCCCTGGGAACCGTGAAACCAACACAAGGAATGGCTCTGGTCAACAATGCAGAAACCCAACAGGTAAGATATGGCTTGAGGAACTCACACTGTGCGTACAAACCTTGACTGAGATCTCTGCAGCCTCTCCTTGGACTCCTCATGCCACCCTCAAGCCAGCAGCACCTAGGAAACCAAGAGTCTCACCACCATCTATTTCCCCAAGCCCTCGTTCTTCCTCCCTACATCTTTGACCCCACCCTCCTCCCCAGTGGCTCTCTGGGTTTACCCTTAACATGAGGGCACCAGGCTGTCCCACTGGTCTGTTAACAGAGGACCCGCATCACATCGTGGAACCAAGATCTCTCAAGGGACAGGCAATACGCCCGGGAGGCTTCTGCCAGATGAAATTCGGTCCTGTCTACAGGGTCCCTCTCCTCCCATACCTTCCTTTGCACAGCCCTAACAAAAATTGGCCATGATCCAGGTCCTGCTCTTGGTGCTAGGGTGGCAGGGATGAATGGGACACCTATACTGCAGAAATGGGGTTTGTGCTCGCTTTTTCATTCAAGTATTTATTGCATCTACACTCTGCCAGCTCTTGTTTCAGAAGTTGGGAAGAAACAGATGCGGAAACATCATAGGGGCTAGAGAGAGGGCTCAGAAGTTAAGAGGGCTTGCTGTTCTCTCATGAAGACTTGAGTTCAGATTCCAGCACCCATGCTGGGTGGCTCACAAACACCCATAACCTCAGTTCCAAGGGACCTGATACCTTCTTTTGGACTCTGAGTACTCACACACATATGTACATAAATGATTTTTTTAAAAAGTTTTTTTAAAAGAGAAAATGTATAAAAATCTGGCTTGGTGAAGTTTTCACTCTGGGGAGACATTCAATGAGTCATTGAACCAAGTATTCGTTACAAATGAGGTTCATGAGTCAGAAAACCGTACAATAGCAAAGACAGAGCCTAATAGTTCCTGGACTCACTGTGACCAAAATATATGACAGAAACAACCTGAGGAAGGAAAGGCTTGTTCTGGCTCATGAGATATACAGCCCACCGTGGCAGTGGGGCAGGAGGCAGGACAGCTTAGCAAAGCACGGGACAGAGCGCGGGCCACAACTGGAAGCAGCAGAATCTTCAAAAGCCCTTCCCAGCGGTCTACTTCCATCAAGCAGACTCTACCTCCTAAAGGTGCCATGACTTATAAGGCTGGGGAACAGACACACCAGTAGGAACCCATGGGGGACATTTCAGATTCTGAGACCTGGCACCAGCAGGAGAGTAGTCTAGCAAAGTTGCGGGCACATGAGCTCGCTGCTAGCCACCAAGCCAACTTGGCCTTTACATGGGTTCTGGAAATCTAAACTCTAGTCCTCATGCTTCCGAAG